TCTGTTTACACTCTTTCTAAATGGGGTCCCTGGGAGGCTGACAGTCCCATTTAGACTCTTTTTTGTAGTATGCAGCAAAGTCTATTTCCCAGACTTGAGCAAGCCACCTAGGCATGCTAAACCAACATTCTGCCTTTTAACTGACCATGGCATATGTGAATCCCCATGAAATATAATATTTTGATTGAATTTCTTCCTTATTTTCTTCAGAAAGAGAGAAAATCCTTATTTAATATGCGGTTTACTGATCTGGTCTATCATCAGCTTTCAGACAGGGACTCAGTACTTTATATTGCATGGAAAGGATCCTGAATGCCTGGGTTTTCCAACCCACAGATCTCTCTAAGTCCAGCTCTCCATGTCTCATTTAAGAATCCCACCACACTGACCTGATATCAGCTGTCACGTCCACACCCTGCAGTGTGGGGTGTGACAGGAGGATGACTATGAAATCTGTGTTGACTGCTAAGTCAGTGATATATATGTCCATCATTTCCTTAGAAGTACACATAAATGGTGCATTCAGCCACTTTCAATGGAAAATGGAAGGTGCCTCTGGAAATAGGGGCTGCAGACATGGACGCCTTATGCTGGTATTCAGATATATTTAACAATAGCATAAGCACCCTTGATTTCCTTTCATGCGCCTTCTGTCTTTATTCTTTACCCTCGGCAGCCTGCAGCACTGTGATGTTGAGGTCTTTCTGCAGTATTTAGGTGTTCAGTTTTAGACTGCTGTCATCATGTTCTTCAGGATCTGTCACTGCCGTCTTTGGGATGCTTCCAGCGTTTGTTGTTTGAATGCATGTTCATTGGTTTGAAAAAGTCTTTAATTCTCTGTTTGGTGTTTACTTCTTATTCAGAAAAGATTTTCCTTTCCTTCAGCAGGTTTAGTGAGTAACAGATGTACTTTAGCCAGCATAATTTATGATTAGTTAATTTAATCTGCCATAATGACATAAAGCGAGCCTGAAACAAGCTTCTATCAATTTTGCCGTTAGAGATAACATAATATTTTCAAACGTCTACCAAACTGAGTAATTAACCCTCAGGCTGAGTGAAGGAGTCTAATAGACATCTCTTTCACATTCCTTTGCATTGACAAAATGAAAACAAATATGGCAGCCCAAGGGTTAAAAATAGCAAGTGAGAGTTTACAGTCCATGAGACTGGTTTTATAAGCGAGTTTCAGAAACACACTTGAGTTGCTGCTGCTTCTTTTTAGGCTGCCAAAATTCTCTCCAGTGAAGCATCTGAATTGCATTGGAGCTTTGCTGGCAGCATTGGCACAAAGAGAACAGCTACGTATTAACTATCTATCCCTTAGTTCATTGCTTTTCTTCGCTGCTTTGTAGCTTGACAGTAGATGAGTGGCTTTTGTTTAAATAGCAGCTCAGTGCACAAGATCACCATGATTAAAGGTTTTTGAAATAGCAGATGCTCTTCCATAATAAACAAAGGGTTTATGTAAGGTTTTAGCTCTGGAATTTTAAGTTATGTAGTTACTTCATGAACTCTTTGTAAATGTAAAAACTGATAGTTGAGATCAGCAAGAAATACATAAGGGGAGATCTGATAGGCTCTTGTAAAGAACGCATTAAGCAGATGTCAATGTTCTGTTAACAAACACATTAAAGAATATTAAATTTGGAATGCAGTACTGTTCCCTGTGGCCTAGTGTGCAGTCCTAGTGATTTCAAAAGCCCTAATGACATTTGCTTTTAATAAAGAAAAATAAACTGTATTGAGAGACAATCATAAGTATGGGACTGTGTTGTGGCAACAGCTGGGCAGGTATAACCAAACCAGAGTATGCAGAATGCCATAAAAAACCACCTATAATCAGAGAATGAAGGGACACATGCTTACGGGCAGAACTCGATCAGTGCAGAGAAGTATGCAGAGGAGTGACCTGACATAATGCTGGCTTAACATGTTTGATTAAAGGCAAGATGCTTTCAAAACATGAGAGACTATGCTGAGGATGAAGCAAACACTGGTGATTGGGATGAGATTGCACTTGATGGGCTTTTGGCAGGGTAGTCTTGCCAATCATTAATTCAGATGCCATGGAATAATACCAGCTCTAGGATTTTCATCTGTTTCTAAATTGAGACAATAAAAGTGACGACTCAGGTTTATGATGGTTATCTTAGAAGAAATTAATAGTGTGGCAATTATAAGAATCAGTACTGCCAGAGAAGTCAAGCAATTTCTCCTGCTTGGCCATCCTCTTCCTGCGCATTTGTTGTTATTCTTAAGTAAGCACAATTTGCTCACAGCCTGCATCTCTTCCTTGGCAGGATTCAGCCACTACATTTAGTCCTCTGTGCTGGGCTTGCAGGATTTGGTCATTGGAACTGTATAATCACTTGTGATACATGACCTCAATGTGAATTACTCAAAAGTAAAGTGCAGGTTTTGCTCTTCAGTAGCAGCAGTGGAGTTACAGCGGTAAGAAATTAGCTATTTGTTGCCAGTGGAAAGTAATGAAATACTGCCTTTCCTGAAAAGATTTACCTAATTTTTCATGACTTTGGTTAAACAACGGTTTACGCCTCTTAGCGTTACACCCAATATCCTTATAGGGTCAATATCATCTTTGCTCTGACTCCTTGCCATGTCACAGAGCAGCCAGCTTCTATGCTGATGCAGTGATCAGTTTTCCTTTGGTTAATGGCAGATAACATGCGGGTAAAATTTGGTCCTATGCAAGACAATGACAGATCTCCCTCCACTGATTAAATCCAACCAGGATTTAATCAGTAGGGTCAGGCCTCAGTCATACAGAAGACAGTCACGTGTATGTTCTATTCCCCTGGATAATACTGTCACTTACATCCTGATGATACCTGCAGCCCTCCCCCGTCAAAGCGGTAGTCTGCTAAGCAATAGTGTGTGATCATTGTTTGTGAACGTGGTACTTGTGTGAACATGAGTGCACTTAAAAACAATGCAGAATTGAAGGTGACTTTTCCTCAGCCAAAACTTGGCTACTCCTTTCTGATGTTTGCCAAGATTTTAAATGACTGTGACACTCAAATGAGTAATTTTGTGTTTTTCTAAGAATTGCTAGTCGAAAATACAAAAGCTGGTTCTTTTACACTGTGTCTTAAAGGCGGATGATTTTTTCAGCTAAGCTATCTATATCCTGCCTGTTACTCTAGTATCAAAGCATCACCATAATCTGTTAATATGATGATCCTCATTTCATTTATGTGAGCTAGTAGAAATTATGGTTATCTTCTTTTTATTGAGGAAGGGTAAGGGCACATAGAGGCCAAAGCCTACACCCACTGGAAGTGTTCAGGCACCCTATTTCCTGTTGAAATATGTCATTAGACCAGGGTCACCGGGTTCGTTATAGACTTGCCAGGTGTACTGCTCCAGGAGTGGGGACAAAGCGCTTCACTGAAATCCATAGTTGGGGGAGGAATCACAAGGCAAGCTTCCCAAAGCCTGTGATGTTGGGCTTGGACTTCTCATGTTCTACCTAGCAGACTCAAAGCCAGATCAAGATCCCAGTATGTGTAGCTAGAGAATTTCTGAGCTTTTTTGACTGGCAATGCGACATTTCTAGATATCTATCTTCTAATCAGGCTTGCTCTTGCTTCCTCAGCAGGCAGCCTGGGAACCCTTAGAACTTCTAAGATCCTTCACCATTTCTGCTGGATACTCATATGTATACAAGTATTTTTTAAAGGCAGGAGAGATGGAAGTGGGAGGATGGAAAGGAATATGAGCGTAAGCAAAACTGTGAGAAGCATGTTTTATGTCTTTGTAAAGTGCCCATCGCTGTGGTGTCAGGAT